CCAAACTTTTTTTCAAGTAAGTTACTAACTCGAAAACCAGGAAAGCTAGGAAGCTGAAATTTTAAACGGATACTTTTTGACAGTCCTGGCGGCCAGTCTCAATTTTTTTAGCTGGAAGCATTGGCCGGAATAACCAGTGCCGGTAGCGACAAAAACTGCGGTAATTATGCAAAAAACATATCTTCGCACCGGTAGTCGGTGCGTTGGCCGATTATTTTATTCAGTTGCGCAATTTGCAGCCACAGAGTCGTCGCAGCAGCAGTTCTTCCCGAGTTGTCTTCAGTTCACGTTTCTACGAATGCTTGCATTCGCGCTGCTGTTGTGCGCTTGGGTCATCGTATTCGCCTTCCCGTGCATACGTTTCACCTATTATGTGCCTATTTGGCTGCGAGGTTTGCCTCCTTTCGGGAGCAACATTGTCGAGCTGTGTAGATATTCATGACAAATAAAATTAACCCAAAAATGGGCTGAAAGAATTTCTGGGCGGATCCGGCTTCCATTCTTTTTTTGCGAACTGACCATGGGCATGTGCTGAAGCACAATGTATAATGCCGTTTTTGCATAAAAGAGTTTTTCGTTATTTCGTCTCTCATGAACTGGAGGCCTCTGGCTTTGGTAGTTACTCGTACAATCTTTGAGCTTGGCTTCTTTCACCCTAATAAAATGTCAGTTTTGCAAATGTTCACAGTTAGTCAATGCTGACAGTGTCTGAGCTAGAAGCTTAATAGAATTGCAAAATGCCAGCTGCTTCAGTTACTTTCGGCACACAAAAACATATGGTATTTCAGGGAATTTGCAAGTGATGGCAGAGACAATACCGCTGTCGCAGACTTGTGGCTTCAGACCACGCTGGTGGGGTGAACAACAGGCATTCGTCGAACAAATTCTCAGGCATACGAGATATTACCGCTTGCTCAGTAATGCGATACAACGTATCCACCAGCGATTTGAGCTTTTCAGCGATCAGGAGACCATCGACTTAATTAAACCCTACAATGGGCAATTGTTAGCATTCTGCGTCAGCAAGTCAGCAAGATACAGCGTATACCCTGCGCTTTAGCAAGCATGTCTGATTTTCGCTGTTTTCCAATCTCAAATGTTCGGGGCGCAGTCAAAATAAATAGGACGGAAACAACGGACATACAGGACAGAAACAAGGAGATTTCACAATTGCCAGCAGCTTGCTTTTCAAACTACTCGTGGATGTTCTCGCCAGCCAGTAGTTCCTGTCGTCAAAGTGCTTTAGTTAGTGTCCTCAGTAATGCGACATGAAGAGGTCAGGTGTGGAGGAGAAGATGACATTTTAACTTTGCTTTTGAAGCGTGAGAAAAAGATGAATGAAATGTAAAAAGGAAATTTTCTTAGTGTCAGTCCGCCAATTTATTAAATTGTTAAACCCCTCTTACCAGCTGGGCCTCTTTCTACTATTATTTCAGTAATTGCATCTCTTTTTTATTCCAGTGACTTAATAATCTCTCGTAATGATAGAAATATTATCAGCGAAAGTGACAACGTCTGTACTCATTTGTGGTCTCGACAACCGTAATAAGTACCTTCTTCAGCTATACTTGTGCCTTAGAGCATTAGTACAGTGCTTTACACACAAGTTTGCGAAGAAAAGTCTGCATTTAAAAAAGTCAAAAATTAATTGATTAAAAGGGGCGTTATCGTAATACAAAGAGATGGTGAACTGCGACTGTAGCTCTTCTCTAAGCCTGCACTTTTGAATCCGAATAATCTTAGATAAAAGGTTCCATTAACACTTTTTTGAATAAAACAGGAGAGGTAAGCAGTTCGGGGCTGATGAGCGGGCATGGTTGTGCCCGGCAAGTGAAAGCGTCCCAGTAACGCCACTATCACAGAGATCAACTGTCCGGCCGATCTAATTAACTTAAATTTCGTACCAGAATAAAATAAGTTGTTTCGATTAAAAAACTAATACTGAGTATCTGTAAGGAGGCGTAAAGTTGTTCGCTGACTCTGTTGACCAACAGTAAACTGTTTAGGTTTGTGATATTTGGATGTGTTATATTGGCATTTCCGATTTTACTCCTACTAATGTTCATGCGGTGCTTTTCCGAACAGGAGGATCTTATGGAAGAAGCAATGTTTGATCTCGTCGAAATTTCGATTTTTAGTGTATTTGCTGTAGTCCAAGTAAGTTGAATTTTCACTGATGTACCTTTATGCTAGCTAGGTTCACTGTATGGGGGCTTCGAATTCCAGTTGTTTTTGCAGCAACTTTTCCATTTTTCACCTGGCGTACCGTCCAGAGCTTAAGTGCATCAGACTGTTTGGACAAAAAGTGTCCTATTTTTATTTTTTCCATTGTTTGCTTTAAGTCTGCCTGAAGGCAGAACTATCTTTTCTGGAGCCATGAATTCGTCGCAGTTTTCCTTTGTACAGCTGATAATTAGATAGTCTCCGTGAAAAAACAGCAGTCATTTGGACAGCCTCCGAAAATTAGAC